CCCGCTCTGGGTGGGAGGGGGTGGGTGCGGCTCTAAGCTGTCAGTAGGACATCCCCTGAGGGCTCCCAAATTGCAGAAGGTGCAGGTTGGGCTGAAGGATCTCCTCCCTTGCACAAATTCCATGCACTGGGCCTCTAGTGTTATTATAACATCATTTAAATGTGTGCAAGCATCCCAAAGGGGTTTGGGCTATTTAGTAAGTCTAAGACCAAATGTTAACAATATCCAATTTCAAAATGAATGCAATAAAAATTAATGATGGTCCGTGGATGTGATGGATGGTGGTTGTCTCCTGGAACGGAGTCACCCTTGCTGGTTAAATAGCAGGAAGGCATAGCTTCACATTCAGTTTCATATTTTAATCTGTTTTGGCATTTAGACTTGAAAAATTTCAGTGCATACAGTGTCTCCTTTCACAGATTTTGTCTAAAATGGCGTTAACAATTTGAAGGCTTTCCCAGCATGGAATACTCAACCTCCATATTTTCCCACTGCTCACAAGCACGCTTCCATCATTCACGCTGATGGGTGCCTCCTGACAGCTCTTAACCTACCCACTCCTCCTGAAGAGAAAGCTTGGTTTGTGGCATTATTAAAGATTACATAGGTATTTAGTCCCTGATGGCTGGAAATGTGACGAGGAACCTACAGTATTACATGTTTCCTAGTGCTCTTCTGCTAGTGAGCTGCTCTTACAGAACCCACAGGGACACACTCATGCACTCGGCCTACATCAGGCTCAATCACTGTACAGTGTGGTACCGCAGTTCTCCTGCTTCTTTATTCAAACCACCATTAAGTTCATGTGTGTGGCCTTTCACAGTGACCTTTGGTCTTTGCAAGTGCAAATCTAGATGTGGTGTGGACTCAGAAATCTAGGTTATAGTGGCTTATCCAGACCACCCAAGTTACACTTACATTAATGTAGACTAAGATTTTGAGAACATAAAGTTTGAAAATTCTCATAGACTGCCAGGAATGCATCCACAGATGTACAGTTTTCCCAGCCTGCTTCAGGAACCACAATTCCAGAGTCTAGCCCCCTGGTGACCCACTGTCCTCCTCATTACTGCCCACTGCACCACTGAGTGGGTAACTGGGCACATGCCTGCTCCCTGTTCCCGTACTCCTTCCTCGATTCAGCTTCTCCTTGGCCTCTGGCCTTGTTCTCCAACATCCTGAAGGTTAAGTACCTTCCTAACAGCTCCTCTTCCCAAGGAGCTCAGCCTGCCCAGTGTGATTTCTGCCCAGGGAGTCACTATACAGAAGCTGGGCAGCTCCCCAAGGGCTCAGGCCACCGAGGGACATGTGCGCCAGATGATGTGCTTGGAGTGGAGAGCTATCGCTGGCTTTTTGAGAGAAAAAGTTTAGGGGCAATAACTCTGTGTGTTGTGCCCTTCTTGTTATTTGGGCTGCCATGAAGCAGTAATAGTTTGTGCCATTAAACAGGCTTGAACCAGTAATTTCCTCTTTGATGAAGAAGGCACCTCTGATAAAAATTAAGTGGAGAACTAGACTTCCATGTCTGTATTTCCCATAAACAAAATGCACCCAGATCACTCCGCTTCTTGGTGGTTTTGTCACTAAAACAATGGTCGTCTTCTCAGCCATCTTTCAGTTTCCTCGTTTCACGTGGGCTTCTTGAGTCCAATGCCACACCGCAGACCCACCACGTAGAAGGGTTATGGTCAGAAGTTTCATGTGAGCTTGGGGTTGTCCAGAGAATCGGGTTACTCTAGGAGACATGAGTCTTGTTCTTTCAAAGGATTTAATCGAATTACAGAATGCGCCACCCAGGGAGGCCCACGCTGGAGTCCTGGGATCTCACAGTGCCCAAACCCTGTTTTTCCTTTGTAATCATTACCCCAAAACACAGTGGTGTTCTCTGACCTGTGGCTGGATCGGATTTTCTATTTCCTTTGTGGGGTCACTGTAGGTTCTTATTTCATGTTCTCTTCAGGGAATAATTGCTCTTTTGCTGTTTTTCCAAGCTCTCCTTTTTGGCATGTTAGCTGTGTACCTTGTGACAGTGGAAGCGAATGTTTGTACAGTTGGCTTTTCGTTCTATCACTGCTTTCCTGGCGTCTGTGGGGAGGAGGGGGGAAAGTGTGCAGAGTGAGGACGCTGCTGCCTTCAGCAGGCTGGAAGATAGCCCTTTGGTTCCCATCACCTCCCTCCATTTTTTTAGTGTTTTTTTTAATTGATTTTAGAGAGGAAAGGAGAGGGAGAGGTATAGAAAAATCAATGATGAGAGAGAATAATTGATTGGCTGCCTCCTGCATGCCCCTTACTGGGGATCGAGCCTGCAACCTAGGCATGTGCCCTGACCGGGAATTGAACCTCAACCTCCTGGTTCATAGGTCAATGCTCAACCACTGAGCCATGCTGGCCAGGGTCCCACCCCCTTTTTAAAAGGGATGGCAAGGCTACTTGGAATGAAAGAATAATGGAAAACCTTGGGATAATTAATTTCCTTCCAAAAAGTTATGCACACCTCTGATCTCTTCAGTTGAAAATAATTAGGAACAGTTTATAAACATGAACCTGAAGAATTTGGGCAAAGGAGCAGGAACAATGGTTGGTACATGTCTGAGTTATGAATGAAATAAATGAAACCAAGTGGGAAAATGCATGGTTTTATTGTTTCCCCAATTCTCTCTCACACATACTTTACTAGACAAGGCAAATCAATGATGGTAAATGACTGTAAAGAAGTTTAGAGCAGAGTTCTGCACAAGAACTCGCTGCAGTGATGGGAGTGGTGTCTGCACCATGCAGCGCTCCGGCTGCCAGGCACATGTGGCAGTAGTGAGCACTTGAGATGTGGCTACTGTGATTGAGGAACTGAATCTAACCTTAGTTCATTTTAATTAATTAAATTTGAGTAACCACAAGGAGCCCATGGCCACTCTCGGTCAGCTGTGCTGGAAATGTGTAATTAAATCATCTGTGTGTGATCTATGTATGTCATTGCCTCTGACATTCCCATCAAGTTCCAGATTCATATATCCAGCTCCCTTGTTGAGATTGTATTTGGATGTCCAATATATATTTCAAATACAGTGTGGCCAAACAGAACCCTCATTCCAGTCTTTCCAATCTCAATAAATAGACTCACCATTCATGTAATTGCTCAAGCCAGAAACATTTGTGTCAACCTTTATTCTTCACTCTCCCCCTTGGTCAGCAATTCCTCTCAGCTCTTTCTCCAAATTGTATCCTGAATTCCTCACTTTCTCTCCACCTCCACTGCAGCCCTCTGTGGCAAAGACACCTTGTTTCTTGCCTGGGAAACCATAGCACTTCCTGGTGGATCTTCCTGCTTCCCACTCAGACCTCTACAGCTAATTCTTTACTTACAACCAGGCTGATATTTATACACTCACCCACGTCAAACGCTCTGATAGACAACAGTAGCTTCCTTATGATTCTTCTCATGTGACATCTGCAGAGCTTTCTCACACCACCCATATACTCATCACCCAAATAATTCCTTTAGAGTCATCTACCTTTTTTCAAGCATCTACCACTCCCTGAAAATGTATTTATTTATTTGTATCTCCATTCATATCTCCTAGTTGCTCTAGAGTGAACTCCACCAAAGCAGGAACTTATTATTCTTGTCCTCCACTATATCTTCAGTATGTAGATTTTTGTCCTCCACTATATCTTCAGTATGTAGATTTTTGTCCTCCACTATATCTTCAGTATGTAGATTTTGTCCTCCACTATATCTTCAGTATGTAGATTTTACCTGGACAGAATAAGTGTCTATGTATGAGTTGGCTGAATGAATGAATAAATTTATGGAACATGATGAAAATCTATGCAGCACTATAACAGAATAGATATAATTGTAAAATATTACAGTTGGATGAACTAAAGTTCTCTTAATTCAATTCACACATATTAAACATGAGGAAAAAGGACAAATGATACTGTCCATATGTGAATAGAGATAATTTGCTAAAATTTTTGGCATAAAATGGATGCCAAGGAAATTGGTTGGATTCTAAACTGATCCACCTCAACCGTATCCTGGAACTGTCGATTGATAAACTCAAATCAGTCAGAATAAGTTCTCAGTGACTTGGTGAGGACATATGTGTGCAAATAATGTTTTAACGAGCACAAAATGGGGGATGGTCCATTATGAATGAGAACATGGGGTCACTATCTTCCTTTTCCTACCTTACCACTATTAGTCAACTCTCCCTGAGCCTTGGCTTTTTTTTTGGTCCTGGCCATAATTCCATGAAAGGGCTGCAGCTGCTCCTCCATCCTCTGAATGGAGCATAGTGCCTGCCCCAGTAGATACTCAGAACTTCTGAGAAATGAGTAATCATCACAAAAAATGGGAAAACTCATCAGTGGGTATTGGGTAAGTTTAAGAAACTTTCCATCATTGTGAAGAGTCAGGGTATCGTTTATCTAAATCCCATCAATTCAGTTCATTTGCAGAGTGAACCGGCGTCAACAGTGATCATGCTGGGTAATTTGTGTTGGTGTGCAAGGCTTTCGGGCAGGACTCCCACATTAGGTTAGCTTCCTTGGCTCAAATTCTGTCAAGCCTACAAAACCTGAAAGTAATGTTTAGAAAATTTAAAGAGACAAGTTCGAAATACTCTACATCCTCAATTGGGGTTCAGTTGTGTATAACAGACAGGAATGCCAAGGATCCAGCATGGGGGAGATGCCAGCTCCCAGTTTTCATCTAGCCTTGGCATAGGAGAAGGACTGAGGTGGCCACAAGCGACACCTCTCAGCCTGGTTACTCCTTAGAATGTATTTAAGCTTCGGGTAAACACCAAGAATACCCAGACCTCTGGGCCCCTGGGAGCACTGAGTTTACTTCTTGTGGGAGAGCCTGTGGACTAAAGTGATTGCAGACGTGACTAGAATGCCTGGCCTGCACACTGTCTCACACTAGAACTCGATGAGGTTTGGACATGGAGGAAAGGGGGGGGGGGAGGGGGATGTGCTTAGCGCTCTCTGTTTTATTTTTCTTCTGTACTTCCTTTTATTATCTTCATAGCCTTTGCATCAGGATACACAGCAATGATAATTTTATATTACTCTGCCAATAAAAAAAAATTAAAACTCAAGTTATCTGAAGCCTGGCTGTCTCAAAATTGGTGACTTCTTCCTGCTGTCAGCAGATCCAGGCCCCAGAAAGACGGGACAGGTTACAATAATTTCTGAAAAGGATGCTACAAAATGGATGGCCTGTTCTAAGCCAGGTTACAAAGTAAGGATGGGGGTAAGGGAGGGACATTTCTTTCAGAAATAGAATTTCTGAAGAATCACAGCCCCTCATTTTTTCCCAAAATGGTTGGAGGGGAGATAAAATCTCAACATGAGCTTCAAAGCACTCCGTGCCAAAGGGACAGAGTTGCCTTGCTGAGGAGGGCTGCTAAGGAGGAGCATGGCCAGGTGGATCACCCTTTCCTCGGAGAGGGACAGGAAAGGCTTATCTCCACCCCGCCCCCCCTGCCCTGAGGGGGGCTGAACCCTGGCTGAGACTGAATTCTCTAAGAGGTTTTTTCTAGAAACAGACAACGTGGACGCTTCCTTTCACTTCAGCAAAGAAGTTATTTTTTAAAGCACTTGGGACGTCCCCCTCCAGCCTTGCGGGGGAGGCTCAGAGAAGAGAGTCATCAGTACAGCTGCCTTTCAGGCTGTAGCGGAATTCCTGAAAGTTGGAGACCCCGTAGAAGAGGACAAAGGCTGCTGCCACCACCAGGACGTGAAAAATCTGATGAGACTGGAACCATATGTCAAACTTTCCAGGACAGAAGCGCTCAGGGATTCGAGCAGCAAAGAGACCAGCCCCGGTGATGTACATCACAGCCATGAGGATTAACCAGCCTACCTGGCCCACGGTGGTGGCCTTGACAAAGCCCTCGGAGATCGTAAAGTGCATGGCAGGCACAATGGCGCTCAAGCCCAAGCCCAGGAACACCCCTGCCCTTGTCTTCCGGTATTTAGGCGTGCTAAACTGGTCCACCTGTGCCACAATGATGGCGGAAATGCTCAGGACACAGATGATGGAGAGGTAGATGAGCCGTGACTGTGGGGAGCAGTAGAAGGAGTAATAGAGCCAGGGGACAAAGCTCCCCATAATTAGTATGGCAATCCCTGAATAATCCAGTTTGGAAAAGGTCTGCGAGACTTTCTCTGAGTGACAGTAGACGGTGTGAAAGACCCAGGAGGAGCTGAGGCAGAGCAGCGTGCTCAGGAAGAACATCCCCAGCACCACTTTCTCCTGCAGGGGGTCGATGAAGTACATGTTTGGTCTCAGCATGGTCAAGAGCCCCAGACACAGAAACAGCACAAAACCAAGCAGGTGGATCCAGATGTTGCCTGTCTCCGTGTGGATGCGGAAGATGCTCCGGAAGCAGGCCCGGAAGGAGGGCATGGGCGGCCTGTGGCCGTGGAGCAGGTAATCGTTGTCCTTCAGCCAGTCGGGGAGCACATCGTACGGGATGACCCTCCATCGTCCCTCCCAGACCTTATACACGTACTCCTCCATCTTCTCCATGGCACTGTATGCTTGCAGGGGAAGCGTCAGGACGCTCTCCTCCCCCTCCTCCTCCTCCTGCTGCTGCTCATGGGGCACTGCGCATGCTCGCTCTGCTTCAGCCTTGGCTGGGTCAGCGACCCCCCGTGTGCCCCTCTCTTCTAGCCGGGACCCCGGTTCGGCCAGCTCCACCGTGTCTGGCTCCCTGTTGTTGGCAGGAGCCCCACTGCCCTGTGCCGCCGCCGGTCCTCGGTGAGAAGACATCTAGCTGGTACCTCAACACACCGCCGCTTCAGCCCGGGGCGACCTGGGTTCTCCGCCCCGGGGGCAGAGATCTCCCTGTGGCCTCGGGGGCAGAGATCTCCCTGTGACGGCGGACAGGCGGGCATTGGGCTCCGCTGTGGCCAGGAACCCCGTGCTACATCCCCCAGCGCCGCAACAGGCTGCAACCTAGCGACCCATCTTGATCTTTACGAGCCCCACGCTGGAAGGGGGCCCAGTGCTGACGTCATTTCCGCTCCCTGAGCCGGAAGGGGGCCTGGCGCTGACGTCACCTCCGCGCATTGGCCCCTGCCTTCCCCCCCTCTGCATTCTCATGGAGGAGGGATCTTTAAAAGTCATACTAGTGAGTTCTGTAATTGGAGGCCAATTTCTTGAGATGGCTGAACGTGAGTTTTCTCGGCAATCGTGCATTTTCTTCCTTAGTGACGTTGGATATGAGGTTTAGTTTAGGCCGAGAAGATGTAAAGAAAGGCCCTTCCCTTATGCCTGATCGTGGCGCCCAGCTGGGGGCCGCTCCAGAGGAGCGGACAGACAGATGGTGGCAGCTGCCCTGGTGATGCCACGGCAGGAGCAGTCTGCTCGTTTCATTCCAAGCTGGGTCTTTTCTGAAATGCAGAATTCTGACACTTTCACTCTCTCTTCCTCCTTCCCTTCCAATCTGTAAAAATCGATGGAAAAAGGCAAATAGGGGAGCCAAATCTTTGAAGCTGGTTCCAGCAAGGCAGTTTTCCACTTGTTTATAAGGCGTTAAGTGGGCGGGTTTCAAGCCCTTGGCAACAGCTTGAAATGCAAGTGCAAATCCCATCACTCCCGGTGCCTGTTCTGCACGGGTCTGCCCTGCTGCCTTGGCTCATGAAGGGCAGCCTTTTCCTGTAGTTCCTCCTGCAGGGGCCCCAGGACAGATAGCCTCGCTGAACTCCACCACCCCGCCCAGCTCAGACCTTCCTGAGGTGGGAGGAGGAGGTGATGCAGGAACACCTCCGGAAAAGGTGGGGATGTGGGGCGGTCAGAAAGCAGCAGGAAGAGTCCAGAGAAATCCATACAGACATTGAGCCCATCTTCCTCCCTCCTTCCCTCCTGAGAGCCCTTCCCTGGCTGCTCACTCAGAATTCACTAGCTACCTTCTCTTCTCACACTCATTTTCTGCATTCACTTAAACTTTTTAATGTGGTAAAAGACACAATACAAATTTTTCCATCTGAATCATTCCTACATATGTAGGTTAGTTGTGTTAAGTACATTGACTGTTGTGCAACACCACCACCTTCCACCCACAGCTGAAACTCTGTGCCCATTAAACCCGAGCTCCCCATCCCCTCCCCAGCCCACAACCGCCATCTACTTTCTGTCTCTGAACCTCACTACTCCAGGGACCTCATATAAGGGGAATCACAGAATATTTGTCCTTTTGGGACTGGCTTATTTCACTGGGCATGATGTCCTCAAGGCTCATTCGTGTAGCATGTGTCAAAATTTCCTTTTAAGACTGAATACTATTCTATTATATGTATAGACCAATTTTGTTTATCCATTTATCTGTCCACGTACACTTGGGTTGATTCCACCTTCTGGCTATTGTGAATATGTACAAAATTCTACCTCTTTTGTACAGATATCTCTTTAAGAGCCTGCCTTCATTTTTGTGAATACATACGCTGAAGTGGAGTTGCTGGAACAGACAGACAGACAGACTCACTTTCTTTATCTGCAGAACTAAAGGTTTGGCTCTCAAAGCCACTCTGAGCTGGGCTATCAACATGCTCGGCATGGCTACTGAGAAACAAGGGCCTACAGAGCCCCCCACCCATGGCATGGCTGTCACCCAGTGGTGCCAGTCTCCTCTGTGGCCCTAGGAACAAGGCTGTCTTGGAATCATGAGTCTCCCATGTCTGCTTTATTTCCAGATAGGCTCACTTCTGAGGAGGAGAAGGGAGAAGCAAGGTCCCAGTGCCACTTACAGGTTTCATAGATATTAGCTCTGTTTGCAGTTTTTGTGGAACAAGTGAATTTCTTCATCTCTCTCTTCACCTCTGAGGTTTGTCTGCCTTCCTGCAGTGCTGCTCGGCCTCTCTCTCACCTCTCCTAAGATGGGCTCTGGACTCCTAATGGCTGCTTTCAGGGCCCTGGTGGGGTCATATCATTTTTAGCTAATGTGGAGCGGGGTCAGTTAATAAATCCACCAGGCTGGGTAATTAAAGATCGAGGAGGAGTGTGGGAAGGTGTGTTTTTAAAAGCCTGTTAAAATCTCTGTATCTGGCAAGGACTGCTATTTAATGTGGAACTTGAGAGCTGCGCCATTCAGTGTGATGCATTTAATTTGGCAGCATCCTGCTTGAACTTGGAGCTGGCACCTGTTGCAACATCCTGGTAGCCTAGTGGTAGCATGTGCTTTAGAGAAAATGAGCTGAAGAAAATTGGGTGACATTTGCTCTCACAACATCCCATTTGTAATGTACCTCTCCTGGCAGCAAAGTGTCCTCTGAGGAGTGTCTTGTCTTGAGGACAGAGGCTTTTGTTTTTTCATGTGGGCCAGTAGCAGCACATGTGTTAGGTGCTGTGATGAGTGCGTGGGAAGTCCTGACCCCTGGCCATGCACTTGCCTCGACCTCAGAGGACTTCCACAAGAAGCCCCCAGCCTATCAGCCAAGCTGATAGGCCCAGCAGTGAGGGACAAAGCTAGTCTGATAAATGCCACAGATGTGTGGTTCAGTTTAAACATCCATGCTTTGGAATTTTTTACTTTATTGTGAACAAATACACATGATGTGAACTTTGCCAATTTAGCCATTTTTAAGTGTACAGTTTAAGATACTGTGGCATTAAGTACCTTCACGTTGTTGTGTAACCGTCACCACCATCCATCTCAGTATTTCATCTTGCAAAACTGAAACTATCCCTGTTAAACACTATCTCCCAGTCACTGACAACCACTCTTTCCCTTTCTGTCTCTGAATTTTTCCCCTCTGCAAACCTCATATAAATGGAATAATCTAGTATTTATCCTTTAGTGATTGGCTTAACTCACTGAGCATAATGTCTTTAGGGTTTGTCCATGCTATAGCATAGGTCAGGATTTCTGTCCTTTCTAAGGCTGGGTCATCTTCCACACCATGTATCAGTATATACACCACATTGTGTGTATTCACTCACCCGGGGATGGACACTCAGGCTGCGTCTGTCTTTTGGCTACTGTGAGCAATGTTACCACAGTCAAGTTCAGAGTAACAAGTATCTGTTTGAGACCCTGCTTTCAGTTCTTTTAGGTTTGTACTCCTAAATGGAATTCCTGAATTATATAGTTTTGAGAACTTTTGCTATATTCCTTGGAGGCTGTTTTTGAAGAATTTATTGTAAGCATTAATAAAAGCATATGTTGACTTTTTTTTTTCTTCCAAATAGAAGTAGCAGGAAGCAAAAAAAAAAAAAATATGGTCATCTTTATAGTAATGAAGGTATAAACTTGAACGAGGTGGTGTGATGATAAAACCAAATGGCAGTGCTGTTTTTACGCTTTGTTTTCTTTACAGCACATATATCCATGCTTGTTTTTGCTGCTAGAGAAATGTGTTTCTAACTGATTTTAAAGTATTCATAACATTCGTAGTTTCCAGTTATCTATATTTTTAAGTCTGTATTTGCAGGAATCATTTTACAGTGAGTGTTTAAAATGAGTCTGATAGAGTAAAATCTATTACCATAAAGTTGACAAATGGTGGGAGATTATTTTAGAGAAGGAGTGTATGCTTTGTGGATTTGCTGTGGAATGTCTTTCCCATTGTAAGCTCCACGAATGCACAAGTAGTTAGTTCAGTGTACATAAATGTATGTACACAGCATTGTGGTGTCCTTGCTCATGGCAGCCAGGAGTTGGGAAGCAGCTGCTGTGTTAATGGAGGGTTGTCATCTTGGCTTGACACCTTCTGGATGTTGTTTGTTGAAATGCTGATGGTGTGTACATACAGTTACTGGCATTATTCTCACCCCAGCAGAAACTGAGAGGACTTTAGGATCTCAGAACAAACTGATGTTGCCGCAGCAAGAAGAATCGTCTTCAAAGGCACTTCTGATGGTGCCCCTTTATCCCATGGCATCCGTCTTTCAGAGGCTCACGGTGCTGTGGTCATTTCCACGGCCCTGCTTTCCCCACTCGCCACCTCACTTGCCAGTTTCAGTTCCTTGAAAACCCTGTAATCTGCCGCATCTCTCAGCTCTACACAGGCTCCTCTTTGCTAGAACACTTCTTGAGACTTTTTCTCAGGACAGAATTTGCTCATCAAGTCCTCACAGGACTTGTGCCATTCTTCCCCGGGATTGTCTCCGAGTGAGTGGCCCTTCCTGGCTGCCCACAGCACGCTCTCCTGTTCTGTTACAGAAGCAGAGTACTGAGCATGTCCATTCTAGTTGCACATTTTACTTGGATTAAATATTGAGTAGATATAAAATACTAATAGATGCTAGATATGAAGGATCTGGCACCATGCCCATGTGTGTGCCCAGCTTTAAATAATGCCAGTAACTGTATGTACACACCACTTTTACATTTGATGTGCCCTGGGGCCCATTCTCCACCCATCTCACTCCTGCCCTCCCATTCACCACCAGCCTGGCTCTTGTATTACTCCTTCCCTTGCTTTTCTTTATAATTTTGCCTCATCTGTTAGTATTCATAAACAATATATCACTTAATTTTGCATGGTTTTGAACTTTGAGTAAGTGAAACCATACAACAACGTTCTGTATTTGCTTTTTTTTACTTAGCATCATTCCTAAGGCACATCTGGGTTGACCTTTATAGCTGTAATTCACTTATTTCACTGCTCTGTGAAAGTACCGCTGTGATTTGTCCTGTACTTCAACTTTTACATATCTCTATTCCCTCTCTTTCTTTTATGCCCCCATTTTTACCCCAACACACAATTTTATTTTGTTTCTTAATTGATTTGAGAGAGAAAGGAAAGAAGGTAGGGAGGGAGGAAAGAAAGGAGAGAGAGAGGGGGGACAGA